GAGGATGAGGATGAAGAGGTGTGATCAGGCTTTTTAGCACTTGTCGGCGGTGCTCAATATCAACACCAGGGGGATCGTGCGTAGCTCCTAAGATATAGGTAGGTGGCGATTGCTCTCTTTTGGGTGTCTGTTTTCGGACGTGTTCGTGTTCTTCGGCTGTGTTCAAGTATCAGTAAAGTAGTACGTCGCGATGAACAGAACCCGCGTGGTTTCACAGAAGCTTTGGGTCACTGTCTCTCTAGGTATTCAGCAACTTGCGTCTTCCCGGCTGTGCAAAACGGGCACCATCCTTATTTTGAAGACGGCACCAGTTCACAAGCTGTACATGTTCAATCTTCATGTACACTTTCGAAGGAGCTAACAGTTTTTTCTCACGAAGTACCCTCCCTCAACACATACCCAAGGCGATGTCGCAATAATTGTGCAGCGTCGAAAGCCTCTGATCAGTCCTGTCTCCGAGGATTTTACTGCTCGTCGTGTTTTTCGCCATGGCAACAACAGGTATTTGGCGTGCTCACCAACGCCTGTATGAACTGTTTCTGCCCGCGGAGAAGATTCGATAGCGCTTTCGATCATAACTAAATCCAAAGGGTGAACACAAGACGGGGGTGGTGTTCATTCCCATTTCAAAATTAGTTCCCATTTTTCTCGCAACCTTGTTACTTGTCTTCAAGGTTTATTTGACGTCAAACTCAACGTCAGCCTGACGCGTTACGCATATTTGTTACGCATGTTGCCCAACTCTCACGCTATGGGTTCGATGTAGGGCGGTCTCGCCGTCATGACGCCATATATGGAACGCCTGGGGTAGGGGGGGGGTTCCGGTTGATTGGGTGACTAAAACCACACCATGAGTTGCTCAGCCTGGGGGGAAGATGTTTGGACGCTAGAGGTGGTATATGACATACGTAGGACGGTGGAAGTCCTTGGAACGTTCATAGAGGCGTATGTGCCGCGAGCCAGCCGTTTTTCTCTTGTTTTCCTGTCGTGCTGTCTTCCGATTTTTTGTCACTTCTTTTGAGCTGTGCACCCTGGCTCGTTTTTCCGGGGGGAGGGTTGTGTCTCCGGAAACGTTTGAGCATTCTGCTAGTCTCAATTTTTGGATGGCGAACGCCTGCGTCGTGTTCACACAGTGGTTGTGCCGTATTCGTTTCAAGATCATTCTATCATACATACTTCTTTGTCGTTGCTTTCAGCACCTCATCAGCTGAAGGTGTTCTGTTCCTTCCGTTTTACTGCGAAGAATCAATCCAGCAAAAACATTTGTCTTGTGCTGCATCGAGTGTCATGCGGTCGCATCCATGAAAAGACGAGGAAACCGCCGACTGCTTGGTTGGTCATGACCTCTTGCTCCTGTCGCTGTCTACCAAGCATCTAATTACCCCAGCTGTGACTCAGCAGAACTAGCAGTGTCGTCAATTACTCATTGCTCGACAGGACAGGTGAACATTCCGGCCGGCCGGCCAGCTTAAAAGGGTGTGTCTCGCATGGCACTAGGTTGTGGGTTCGACCCTTTCCAAGGGAGGATTCTGTCCCAGAGGCATGTCTCGTGCAAACACTCTTCGGCGCCACCGAGGGAAAGGAATGGCTGAACGATTGAACGAACCTTTGCGTCGTCCAGCTTAAAAGGGGATGTCTCGTATGGCACTAGGTGATGAGTTCGATCCTTTCCAAGGAGGGATTCTGTCCCAGAGGCATGTCTCGTGAGAACACTCTTCGGCGCCACGGTCGAGGGAAAGGAATGGCTGAACGATTGAATGAACCTTTGCGCGATACTCATTGTAAGTAAGGCACAATCACCGCAGGGGGACAGGCGAGACCAAATCACCATAGTAGAGAAATTGAAAGAACTTCTGTGGAAGACCTTCCTCTGGTGGGACCCCGGCGCCAGCGTACAGTTAGCGCCCGCAATTAAGATTTTTCAGAATAAAGGCTCATTTTTCCACGAAAAATAAAGATTAGGGTTAAGAAACATGGCTCACGCTGGGTCACAATAAGAAATGTCTCAATAAGAAACAGCGGCGACCGCTGCCCTACTACATAAGAAACGAAGGGTTATGGGGAGAATGTGTGTCGAATAAGAGCACCCCACAGCTCCTTCTATCTTTCGCTCTTTTCCCCCCTATCCCACTACCCCCCCGCTCCCAAGTGCGTTATTAGTCATACGACGAGGGGGGAGTATGTTTTTATTGCGGCGCGCCCTTCGGCCCCCTGCCGGCTCTGGCGTTCTCTGGCGCTCCGGCTCTGGCACAGCACACCAGACAGGCGGCGAACCACGATATGCTGTCTGCTGTCCGGTTTTGATCGTGCTCTCCGCCAGCTCTCGTGAGCAGAGAAGATAAGAAATTGCCGATTGAAGAAATTCAGCAAGATTTGGCGGCACGAAAAAAATAAGAAACTTGACATAAGAAATTGAACGACATACGCTGAGTTCATAGCCCACAGTAAGAAGTCGCGGCTGGACCTGAAATAAGAGTTCTTGATTACGGGCGCTAACTGTAGATGGGACGACATACACACACCGCACTAAGACCATGTCTTTTCGTTGATCAGCCGTCAGCGCGGTCGATACGAAAAATAGAAAGACACCACGACACGTACGAAAAACTCCGAGATCATCCTGTCTGCCGAAAAATAGCTACGAAAACGGCGATGAGTGTTGGATGGAGTGAGCGCATGGAGGATGACGGTACTTGTGCTGCACTCCAAGAACCTCCATTGCACAAGGTAGCACATATCCCTGATAGGTAGGTACGTGCGGTGTTCTTCCTTGCTACCGTTTGTGATATTTATCCGGAGAATAATGGCTTAGCGTCACCCACCCGTGCCGCCCCGCCACGAGGTCCCAGATCATGGCATTTACTGCAAGTGTTTTGTGTTTTTCACTTGAGACTGACGACGTCGTTTCTCATTGAACAACATATTCGCCTGATTGAGAGCGTAGCATCTGATTGAGAGCGAGATTGCGCGATACGCTGTAGCCGGACTACCACTGAGAGGTGGAGCTTGCTGTGTAGCTTGAATTGAAGGGCTAGCCCGTAGCTTCAAGCCGCTACCCTGGTCATCCTGTGGGAGTCTCTCGTTGTGGAGCTACAGCGGGGAGCAGAAGCTACAGCAGAGCCCACCGCCCGACGCGATACCGCCCTGAAACAGTTTGAGCAGAAATAGCCAATCTGGGCAAATCTAGCAACTTGTCTAGCTCCTCGCTGCAGCATCCGATGACGATGACACGCATATGCTCGCGAAGCTGCTGATGAGACCTTCAATTTGCACCGCTTCTTGGAATAGCCCGTCCCCTACTTGCCAAGAAATGGCAAGAGGCGTCTGGACCCGAAATTTCAATTTTTTTGGCTCTCGCTCTCAATCAGATACTTCGCTCTCAATCAGGCGAATATGTTGTTATTGGTGATTGGTCAGTCGGTTAGCAAACGCGATCGATGCTAGACACGCATTATACTACATACGGCAAAATAAGCGGCTCCAAGCATATACATGCTACATCATCATCAGATGTTTGTGCTAGGCCTTGTTGCATGCTGAGGCGGTGTATCGGGTGAAGGCGCGCGCCGATAACCCGCGGCTACTGCTGCTGCTGCTGTCTGTGTATTCGTGCAGCAGGTAGGAGGTGTCGATCGTGGGATCGAAAAATATGGAGTCATCACAGACTACATTCATTTTTTTCATTCAATCATATTGTTCATTCATTTATCGGGTCGATCATCGATCGGGCAAGCCAGCGCTGATCACAGGGATGGCAACCCTCGGGGGACGTGTTCGTGGCTTGAAAGCTTGACGGTCTCGAGGGCATTAGCTTTATGACAAGCCCGATGACCACTAGGTGGACTAAAGAGAGAGAGAGAGAGCAATTAATTGATTGGCCAATTGTTTAAGGACCGTTCCAAAGAAAGGACAAAAAAAATCTCTGGTCGTCCGACGACGTCATTCGCGACGACGAAGCCGCACGTAATCTCTGAGATTCAAGTTTATCAATTTTTTTTAATTTGCCGTGAATGACTGACTATTCGATGACAATTGAGTCGATGATGTCGCGAGCTGATGGATTGACATTCTCCGGTTAGCACAACGGTAGCACCGGGGCAGCGCCGAGAGCGGCATCCTTAGCGAGGCCATTGAATGGTGCAGCACGTCAGCTATAGTACGTCCGATCGTTTTCGTGTGGTGGGTGGTGTGGACTCCTCCTGTGGACGACCCTTAACAAATAAATATGAGTGGTGCTGCTGCTGTAGTACAGTTGAGGCCCGCACTTAAATACCTCCTTTTTTGAGCGAGGCTCAGTTCTTGTTGGTTGCCCCAACCCGAGCACGTTGGCCCTGTTAGCGTACGTTGTATGACGACGTACTTTGTTGGCGGCTGTCAACTGCACTCGGCGGAGTGTTTATTGTGTTTAGCATGAGGAACAATGCTGCTCATGCTTGGTACAAGAACACACCAAGGCATGCAGCAGCAACTGTCAACCATCTTGGTCCACAAGGAAGGGTGACGTTGGTCCTGCGTACCCTCCCCGATCTACTAACGCTCTCAAGCAAAACCCAGGAGCCCTCCGCCGCATCCAGATCTCCGGTGTACTTGTCTAAGGGCAGCTTCATCTTGCGCGTACTCTGGTCTAGCTCCAGCTGCACACAGTAGTCGTATGCATACAGGTGGCGAGTGTCCTGCTGAGATTGCTGAATGATCAACCCTCCAAACCACGCCATCCCCACCCTAACGAGCACTCCACGTCGCAAAAGCAATCTGTCAAGAGCAAAGGGTTTATCTTCTTGAATGCGAAAGCCTGTCGGGATCTCCATTCCTTGTGTCTCGTCCTCCGGGTCTTGTGGGTCCATGCTGTCGTCGTCGTCGAGAAGAACTAGCTCATTGGTCTGGGTTTGAGACGTGCCTGCGAACGGGGCACCGTGAAACACCACAAGAAGTACGGTGTCACGGCCGAAACTCAAGATGAACCCATAATAGTTGCTTGTAGTCGTGAACGCGGAAACAGCACATCAGCAAAATCCAAGCAAATATCAACATGGACATCTTCATCAACAAGGAATGACAAGGATTGGGTCTAGTGCAAATCAAGCTTACCACCGTCGTCTTCATCATCGCTTGAATCAGCGCCCTCCACGACCGTCTCACGTCCATCGCCCTCCTTCCTCCGCTCCTCAGGCTCATCGCTGCCGTTATCCAAACCTTCTTCGTCCTCGCTACAGTCTTCATCGTTTGCCAAGGTGTACGGCTTGTCCAAACCCTTCAAGGTGATCCGATCATCGCCTGAGCCGTCCACAGTCATGGCCATCCCGTACTTTTTCGAAAAGGCGGATCGGAATGCCTGTTTCCTGTTGAGTTTTGCCATGGCCGCCCCAATCCACTGAGTGATCAGTACCCACCGATCAGAAGCTGTCAGCGCCGCGGTTTCCCACCTCTCGAGGTTGTCCGACTGCTCGAGCCACATGTCCATCTGTCTCCCAGCTTCCACCTTGATAAATCGTCCGGCTCCTGCATCAACTGGCTGCACCTCGTCCGTGCACTCCGAAGGGCCATACCAGGCGAGAGTGTTGCACTCCTTCGCAAGATACTCCTTGAACTCGTCCGTCGTCTGCGCGAGCAAGTTGTCCATGACAAGAATGGACCTCGCCATGGCAAGCTCACCCCACCCGCGCATCAGGCGTTCGCGGTAGGACCTCTTAGCGCACTCCATACAGAACTTTTGGTCGGCCCAAGCATTCTCCAGGAAAACACGTCCACGACCTTGTGGTACGCGGCCTTCTCCACCGGCGAGATCCGCTTCCCCGTGCCTCGGAAAATCACCGAAATTCGCAAGGTCTTCTCCCCCGGACCAGCGATGACTTGCATGGTGCACTGCCTTTTCTCTAGGCCAGGAAAGGACTGCGAGATGGCGACACGCTTCGCACTTCGCTCCTCCCACGTATCGAGCAGCCCGTTTACGAATGCCAAAGACACTTGATCCACATTCCAACGCTCCCAGAGTTGGAATTGGCCATACTTGGGTACTCTGGACTCCCTCTCTGCGACCGTCGTAATCGCCGATACGTCTGACTCATCGGGCGCCCTGTACCGTACCGGCTGTTGCAGGAGCTTGCGAAACAGTCGGTGGAAGCACTGGATCTTTGGTAGGCGCTCCTCAACAGACTTGTTCTTGAGGTTGGTCCGACGTCTTTTGGACAGGTTGTGCCTCTTGGCCCATTTTCGTGCCCACCTGAAGGATGCGCGGAACGCCGCCGCCCGTTGGTCCCCGGGATACATCTCTCGCAAGAGCTTGCGGAACGTGATCGTCAGACACAGGGTCGATACCTTCAGCTTCCTCTTACGCCGCTCCACGAACATCTTGTAAAGCCTTTTTTCTGCCTCAGGAAACCACCGCTTAGGCTGCTGCTTGGCGAGGACCCTCTTCTTCACGTCGTCTGCTGCCGCCGCGACTATGGCCTTCTCGTCCTTGGCCCACTTCACGATGTTGCTGTAGTGAACCTCGAGACGATCCTCAAAGTACTGAAGAAGCGCGCGCTCCTCCTCCTTCCAGAGGTCCGCGGCGTTGTCCTCGAGGATGCGCAGCTGGTTGACAGCATTGGCTTTGAACCTATAGTCGTATCGCCTGAGCTTGGGTACTCCACGAGTTTCCTTGGTTTCCAAGACTAGATCGAGAAAGCGCTTGTTCGTACATGTCCTTTACATGCAAGGGGAAGACGTTATATCTCTTGTGTTAGACACGCAAGGGGAGTAGGGAGAAGTGAAGCCCTCTTTGGAGTTCGAGGGGTCCCCGCACATGCAACCATTTCAAAGTGTGCATATGCCCCATCTGCGTGCCCTCTGTTGTTGCCGGTAGATCTAACCAGTCCGTATCCAAACGCACAAACACCCTCCCCGGTTTCGTTGGTAAACTCGTGGCTTCTGGGGAAAATATGTTTTATTGTTGAGACCTTGGACCAGGAGAACAGGTCAAAAGGTGAAGTGAGCAAGGGTGGGGAGCACCACAGCACCGCAGCACCGCAGCCACCACCTGTGTCGCTCGACCAACGCACAAAAGCATAACACAATGATATCGGAACACAAAGACTTAACAGACAGGGGCTAACGTACTTCATAACGTACCATGAATCCTCTGACTGATGCACTATGTACAAGAAACACACTCGGGGTAATGCACCATCCACGAAAAACATTCTCACAGAACGTTCCTTGCTGTTCTGAATGTGGCTACTCAACGATCTTCAACGCAGACAGTCCCGCATTGCAAACTGTCCAATAAAGTTGTTCTACGTCACTCCGTCGACACACACAGCAGCAACTATCACGAACAGTTTGCACGCGAATGGCAAACCTAACGTGGAGCATGGATGCCCCTGATCTACCAGTAGGACTCAAAACAACAACAGGATCGAGGGAAAACCCGGCCAACCGGATCAAAAACCCTCGTCTAACACCCCAAATATAGACATACCGTCGCTATCACGGAGGATTCCAACGGCCGCACTTCCAAGACAAGACCAAGGCAGGACAGATTGAACCGGTCACGCTGATTACACACCCGAAGCAACGCTCTCGGCGTTACTAGGCTCCAGCAGCGGGTGACGCGCCGGCTCAACGCTTCCTGCGTGACGTACCATGGTCATATATGCAAAGTGCTAAAACCACCAGATAAACCAAACAGAACAAGAGAACACTACATCGGTAGGTTCATCAGAGCCTTCCGGTGGTACTCTACCTTCTCTCTGCCAAGGACCTTGGACAGCATGTCGGCATGCTGCTCTCCAGTCGAAACTTGCTCTGCAGTGATCTTGCCCGACTTGAATAGCTCGCGAATGAAATGGAACCGCACGTCGATGTGCTTGTCCTCGCTGAGCTGAACGGGTTCTCGATGAAGGCGAGAGCCCCCTTGTTGTCCTCAAGGACCTTGATCTTCGCCCCACTCGTCTCGGGCGCTATGAACGACAGAACGCCACGCATAAACAACGCCTCCTTCACGCCCTCCCCGGCTGCCATATACTCTGCTTCCGAGGTCGACTGAGCCGTCACTGGCTGCGTCTTGGATGCACACACTACGGTACCACCTACGGTCACAGCTAGCCCGGTCGTAGAACGCCTGTCTACTTCGTTGTCAGCGTAGCTGGCATCGACAAACACGCTTAGGTCTAGTCCTGGCCCCCGTATGTAGGTGATGCCGAAGTCCTTCGTGAAGTTCAGGTAGGACATAATCCGCACAAGCGCGTTCCATATCCTCCCGGTGGGTGAGTGGGCGATCTTCTGGAGCTTGTTCAGAGGCAAGCCGATGTCTGGCCTCGTCAGTTCGTCCACATCAGGCATCCGATCGCCTCCCTCACAGGCTTATCCACCGCGGGCTCGTCATCTTTGTTCGGCCTTAGCTGTGGGTCTGGGAGTGGTTGTGAAGACCCGCTGGCGTCGACCTCGGCCCCGAACGCCTGCTGTTGCGGGCCCAACACCTCCTGCATCTCGCGCCTGTACATCTCCACCATACGGCGTGTGTATTCCTCGTCCCACTGCTCCTTCACAAGCGAGTTCCAGCTGTAGCCCTCAACAATCCCCGTCCCGCCAGTTTCCAGGAAGGTCGCCAGCAGTGCCTCTTCCGGGTCCGGTGTTTCTCCCGGCCCCGGCATCTCCCGGGCACCTTGCATCTCCCGGGTCTGCTTCCGCGTGCGGCCACTCTCAAGCCCATGGCGCAGCGGGCCAGCGTTCGAGGCGCCCCAGAGGAGGTTCTTCCCTTCTAGCCCGCGGGGGTAGCGGTCGTCGCCTGGATCATACTTCAACTCCTCGAGGTTCTCGGAGTCGCCGGGATCACCATCGCTACCGCCGTCCCCACCTGGGTCGCCGGACTCTTCGCCGCCCGGGCCGCCGGTACCGCCGGCGTCACTGCTGCTGCTGCTCGGGCTGCTGCTGCTGCTGCTGCTGCTGCTGCTGCTGCTGCTGCTGCTGCTGCTGCTTCTGCTGTCGGTGAGGCTGTCACTGCCTCCGCCGAAGTCGCCCCTTCCCGAAGGGGGCGACGGGGGAACGCTGCCTCCGTCCCCCGGAATCCCGTTGCCGGGTGCCGTCGGCGCCTCCTCGCGCACAAACGGCGTCGCTTGCCCTGGCCCACAGCGTCGCTTGGATGCTTGACACAAGCGCGGCATCAGTGATCAACACTAGCGCTCTTTGCGCTACACCGTTGTTTTTTGGGGTGTGAGGGGGGGTGAACTTTTGTTTGTTGCCGTGTCTGCGGCAAACTTCCGCAAACTGTCCCTGGAACTCGCCGCCACCGTCGGTACGTGCGACATAAACCTCACATGGAACCCCTTTCGTTCGGTAGTCCGCCAGGAACTTCTCAAACCCAACCGCTGCGTCAGACTTGTGTTTCAAGAAGAAAACACGCGTCCAACGGGAGAAATCGTCTCTGATGATCAGTGTGTACCAGTTGCCACCAATGCTCCTGGTTTTCATCTTTCCCCCCAAGTCGAGATACACGCGAAATAACTTCTTAACTGCGCGTGTGCTCGTGCTCTTCTGGACGGGTTTCACCTGTCCCTTGGACATCGAACAGCCAAGACAGGGTAGCAGTGGTCCATCCGTCAGCTGCACTCCCTGCTGCTCCGCCGTGATCCTGAGCAATGTCTCGTGGGCATGGCCGTGCGCGAGGTGGTACTCGTTGAGGTCAGTGGGGGTGACTGCTTTCGCATCGCCAGAACCAATGAGTGCGGCACAGGCGGTGTGCAGCGTTGGCTTTATTTGATAGCCTCGTTGGGCCAGCAGCTTTCCAGTCCGGGGGAACCACACCTCCCCCCCGGCTTTCGTGGTCAGCGTGAGGCCCCCCTTCATCCCCGAATACGTGTGGCCCTCCTCCGCCAACGAAGACAGCGAGAGGAGGTTGTAGGGGGCCTCTGGTACATGGGCAGCATTCAGTACTGGTACGGGTACTCCACCATCTTCCGTCTGTAGGACTAAGGTCACATCTCCGTATCCTAGAAGAGGAACGGGGGCCTTGTCGCCTCCGATCCCCTTCACCCAACCGCTACGCTCACGGTAGTTCACGAAGTTGTCTGCACATCGGAACATGGAGCACGTGGCCGCTGTGTCGGCCACGTACACCGCCTGGCCTTGTTCCACAACCCCCACTAGACCTACTTCACCAACGGTACCACACTCGCCTGGGGGGACTGCCACGGCACAAAACGCCTGGTCTTCCACGGAGTCCACGTCGCTCTCATGCTCCACCACTTGCGCTAGGACGGCCTCCTCCGTCGCGCACTTTTCTTTGGTGTGGCCCCACCCCTCGCAGCGCGCACACCACGGCACGAAGTCCTTCTCGTTGGTAGTGCAGCCGATCGCTTGATGTCCACGATGTCCACACCTTAAGCACCGGCCCGGGAACTTATAGTCCCCGCCACCGCCGCCATCGGCGCCTCCACTGCTGCTTCCCTTGCTCTCCTCGACTCCTCCGGATCCGCCTGAGCGGCCGCCGCGACCGCCGCCGCCGCGGCCACGACTGCTGCTGCGGCCACGGCCGCCGCCACGACCACGACCTTGCCCCTGACTCCTACTTGAGTACCGCTCCCTGCGGCCCTCACCGTCGGCGAAGTACGCTTGCTCTGCGCCCTTCGCCCCTTTTCCTTTCTCCTGCTCCAGCTTGTCCTTGATCGCCTTGTATTCGATCATTACTTCCTTTAGCACACCGGTCCGCGTCAACTCCTTCGCGTGTCGCAGGTTGTGCTTGGTCATGGCATACTCGTCCGAACAGGCATCCAGGAAGAGGTGAAGGACGAACGTTTCGTTGACAGTAAGTCCTTTCTCGGTTAAGGACGTTGCGGTTTGGATAATCTCATTGAGAGCGTCTTGGGGGTTTTCACCTCTAGCGATCTTGGTCGACATCAGGGACTTGAGGTCCTCTGACGGCTGTACAGATGATTCAGGGTCGTGTATGGTCTTGAGCTCACGAAGAGCTCCCTGGGGCGTCTCTGCCCTCTTCATGATTTTCCGATCTTTTTCTTTCAACGCGTGAGACAGGAAGTTCCACGCGTGGAATGCGAGCTCTACTTGCTCGCTCCGGTACTGCTGTGACAGCGAAAACTTGCTCTTTCCGCTGCTGACGGGGATCTCCAAGCTCCCGCTCTCTTCAATTGTTCCAACAGGTTTGCGCCATTAGCTGCTATGCGGAAATCATTTAGCCATTCGTTGAAATCTTTCGATTTCCCGCTGAACGGAGGAGAAGTGTACCGCACACTTTGGTACCCCGTCGCTGGGGTTGTGGCTCCGTATCCAAAGCCAACAGCAGCACCACCATCTCCCATGGCACTACTATAATCTTGGTTGTGAGCAGCGGCTACTCTCACCTCTTGGGGGACAAAGCCCCCTGCTTCGCCGCTGTGTCGCCCTGACGGGCCAGACTCTCGAACAGGTTCGCGCAGGTACCTCCCGTCCTGCGCACTCCCGGTCCACGGTGCCCCTCCTTCGGCGTTCGTGGACTCCGCGGCGGCGCTCTCCCTAGCATCGCCGCGATCAGCGGCACCCTCCATGGTGCCAGCTGGCTCCTCCTTCTTGCTTGCCTTCATGGTATCTTCCACTAGCGACATTAGCTGGCTCATCTGATCCGTCAGCGAGCCAACTTGCGTCCTCACGGCCACGAGCTCTTCTCTTAACCTCTTTCTGTCTTCCGCCGCAGAGTCGCTGGAGGAGTCACCCCCATCTTTGCGACCTGACATTCCTACTGGACTCTCCCTCGAGGGACTGACACTAGTGTGTTCGTATATGTCCTTTACTTGGAATGGGAAGACGTCTTTTCTCTTGTATTAGACACGCAAGGGGAGTAGGAAGAAGTGAAGTCCTCTTTGGAGTTCGAGGGGTCCCCGCACATGCAACCATTTCAAAGTGTACATATGCCCCATCTGCGTGCCCTCTGTTGTTGCCGGTAGATCTAACCAGTCTGTATCCAAACACACGAACAGGATCAACNCCCTCGAGGGACTGACACTAGTGTGTTCGTATATGTCCTTTACTTGGAATGGGAAGACGTCTTTTCTCTTGTATTAGACACGCAAGGGGAGTAGGAAGAAGTGAAGTCCTCTTTGGAGTTCGAGGGGTCCCCGCACATGCAACCATTTCAAAGTGTACATATGCCCCATCTGCGTGCCCTCTGTTGTTGCCGGTAGATCTAACCAGTCTGTATCCAAACACACGAACAGGATCAACCCCCCGCCCGTCCCCCCCTCCCCGTTCGAATGTTCTTATCTCGCAGCTGCTGAATGTGCCCTTGTTTGTATCTTTAGCAGCAGTGGTACACCTCAGGCGTGCGTTCTTATTCGTAACTGCAGGAGCAATCCGAGCACGTGTTCTTACCGGCAAATTCTTAATTTTTGTTTTTTTAGCACTGTAGACTATTCGTTAGTGACATATTCTCAAGTGCGGGCCTCAACTCTACTGCTCTCGACCAACTCATCAGTCAGTCGGTGTTGAAGGAATGGAAACAGACCAACACAGCAGGCACAGGTACCGTTAGGCTATGGGGGCTACATACGACAGCAGGAGTAGGATGCCGCCACCCCTGTCTCTCTGCTGCCCGTGGAATGCGGAGGTCTGTATGCTGTCGATAGGTGTTGTCTACGGACACCGAGAACAGACGCAGTAATTTACCGGCCGTTTAGACGGACGCGTGGGTGGTGTTTGATTGGCCACTCTTTTTCACCGCCAGCTGTGATCACAAAAAAAAATGCGAGCAGAGAGGGAGTTCCGTGACAAACACCGGAGGCAGGACAAGCTACACAAGCAGCGTGCGCGAACGTGTAAACACGGCAAGACCCGAGACATTCACAGGAGTTCGGCTGGAGCATGCTCGTCAACTACAAGTGGATACTATCTTCGGGATTGGTGGCCAAGAAGAGGGTGACCCAGCGGCAGGTACGGTGCAAGGCAGCAGCAGTAGGTGACAAGACAAACACACGCGATGCATATTTGAATATTTGTGCCTCCCTTGCTTATGAATCGTGCTTGGGTCTAGCTATCAGTTAGTCTACGCCATAGTATTAGACATCATGTTAATATCACAATACGATCAGGGTGGTCGTCGTCGTCCGTCGCATTACTAGGAAATAGTGTATGGGCTCGTGTTTTATTTTTTCCTCATGTTTCACGTAAAAGGTATTGGACAGCCTGTGTCCCACAGTTGTGTCCTCACCAGCACGGACCCCAATACCTCCTCAAGCACGAGTCTACACAAACTCATGCCAGTGGGTAATGCCGGGCCCCGACCCAGCGCATGGTGGCCACCTCGGACGATACAGACTACAGCAACCTCCGCACGAACTTCGTGGACAGTCCAGCGCGTGCCGAGCACTGCTCAACTGTTGCAACGTCACGTTTCACGCGAAAGGTGTTGGACAGCCTGTGTCCCACTGTGGTATGCTTGCCAGCACGGACCCCGATACCTCCTCAAGCACGGGTCTGCACAGACCCATGCCACTAGGTAATGCCGGGTGCCCCGACCCAGCGCATGGTGGCCACCTCGGACGATATAGACTACAGCAATCTCCGCACGAACTTCCTGAACAGTACAGCGCGTGCGGAGCACTGCTGAACTGCTGCAACGTTTGATATGTCCGCCACAGCAGCAGCGCTCGCAGCGTCCTTCGTGCTTCTCACGACAGCGCTACGGTAATTGAAATGTGGCACCGATGGTGAACCACACACACGTAGCAGGTAGCAGACATGGCTCACGCCAACATCAGACGGAGTTGTGATTGAGAGTTTTTTTCGTCATGAGCGGGAAGAAAAATATCATCTTTTTCGGAACGCGCACATCCCACAATCCGTGGAGATTTGTTTTTCAGATGACCACAAGACACCCGAGACACACGCACCTCTACCCCACAATCCACCTGCGAAGTCATCGTCCCCACAAACAACATGGACATCAACAAGAACACTGCGATAGATAGACAGCGCTTGCGGGGAAACCAGCGGGACCGCATCTTGTACGCCGAGCGGAGGACCGCCAACATCGAAATGAACGCGGAGAGACACCAGAGACACCACATCAACAAGACAGGCATCAACGAACGCCGACGCCAGAGTCACGACATCAACAAGACAGGCATCAACGTACGCCGACGCCAGAGTGGGGCAGACCAACGTGCTGCTAGAGGTGCAGTGGTAGCAGAGAAACGGAGTGTGTGGGAGATAGAAATGTTCCGTGTGGAAGAAGATGATGGCCTGTCCGACCTTCAAGACGCTTTTGTCGGACGGAGAAAAGCCCGAGCTGCCGCACGTGACGATGCGGGCGTCAACCTAAAGTACGCCCAACCTTGTCAGCATTGTGGTGCCAATCTTTTTGCCAAGAAATCCAAGGGCATGTGCTGTAAGAACGGAAACGGCAATGGCATTCTCCCGCGACTGCCGTCGCTCCCGCCGCTGATGGAGGAGATGTACACCTCTGTCGAAGATTGGGCTGTCAAGTTTCGCAAAAACTCGCGGGCCAAGACTACAACTAACTGTCGTTCTAATTTCGCTTATCTGAATGTAGAAGATGGTGAGCTCAAGAAAATGTTCGGAGATCATCTCCTCTCCGTCCAAGCAAAGTTAGAGTGCGACCACCGTTGATAATACAAACTTCTGACGATAAGAGTACTACACTAGCTGCATGTTCGTTAAGTTGAACATGACCGATAGGACATGTATGTATGATCGATAATTCGGGTGGCTCAGTTCTGTGTGTTGGGAGTGTAGAGCAGCTGGGCCATGACGGGCCGTGGTAGGGGAGGGACGTATAGGAAAACGTATTGTATTCTTCGGGGGCGTGCTCGTGCTCATAAATCTGTTACGGCATCAAGCACGCGTCACGCTCATCACGCTCAAACTACTACCAAACAGATCTCTCTGATTCCTCCGCATCTCATTACTGCAATTTCCGTACGTACGTTCTGAAGATCTTACCCGTCATAATATGCTACGAGTACCCCCAATATATATAATAGCCCCCCTGCTCGTATGCATCGTCATGCTTCGGCAAAAACCAAATTCCTCTTTTACCATCTCTTCCAAAAAAACAAGAACATTCTCAAAGCATCCAAATACAATATCCTCCCCAAAACATGCAAGAACCCTCCCAAGTCAATCACAAGAAAAATTCCAACACAACTCCAAGACAACCAAGAAAAATCTTAACACAGACTCTCTTTCTCTTGTCCAATCTCGTCTCTCTCTTCCTCTCTCCGCTACAGAATACGAATCGATCCAAAACACTTCCTTCACTGCAAGTTCATCACAAAGCCACGGTGCAACGCAAAAGACTCCTTGCTAATAGCCTTCGTCAAGAAATCTGCATGCTGAAATTGCGTTGGCACATGAGTAATTGATATCTCTTTCCTCTCTATCAGCTCCCTGATAACGTGATGCCGTACATCGATGTGCTTCGAGTTGGAGTTCGTGATCGGGATGTGCGCAATCTAAATCGCTCCCTGATTATCCTCGAACACCGGGATGCACGGCATACTCGCATCTGGCAACATTAAACGCCACACCTGCCTCAAGAACAACACTTCCTTCAAGACGTCGGCAATTGCCACATACTACTACTCTGCTTCCGTGGTGGAAACCGTAACGCACTTCTTCTGCGTTCGTGAAAAGCAAGTCACCCCCCCCCACACGTCCCCCCCGGTGTTTGCCATCGGGGTTGGGTTTTCGTCGCTTGGCAACGACGTTGTAAAACAAGCCAATTCACTTCGTGAACTCGGCAACCAGGTTACCGTTTTTTTTTTTTACCTCCGTTTTTTTTTTTGGCGGTAACCATAATGGTGGTCGAGTAGATCATGTTGTGCGGGGTGGAGAACCCTCACTCCGCGCAAGGGGGATGATCGCACCACGTTGTGTTAAAATGGTCAAGCACCCTCGAGGCAGTTACACAGTGCTTACAACTGTCTCTGGAAGTGAAAGCACGAGAAAATAAATTAAGTCATACGCAGCTGTCATCCGTACGCAAGGAAGTAAGCACAAGATGCCGAAAACCCTTAGCAGGATGCAGCGCACCCTTCATGCGACTCGCCGAATATCTCACGGCGCTTCGCGCTTGGTGATGTGAGAGCCTGGTCCGGTGAGAACCCGGCGTGCTCCGTCCCGGCTTTGTAGGGATGCGAGGTCAATGGTCTAACGACTACGGCATGCACGAATATGAGTACACCCCCCCACACACACACACACACATCACTAGCCCCCTAGACACCGACCTCCGGTCTGCCGCCTTGCTTGCATAGTCGGCATCCACAAACACCTGCATGCTCATACCTGTCACGACGCCCCTCTCAAATGTAATCCCCATCCAACTCGTCCTGCGTACGTATCCTAAAATACCGAGTGCTGCCTTCCAGTGCACCATCTTGGGAGACGCGCAATACCGCGCTTCTGCTCGAACTGCATTCGCATTGTCCGGCCCCGCTTGAGTGGCCAACCAAATCAGAGATCCTACCATCTCGCGAAAAGGGACATCAGCACTCGCTTCATTCACGTCAAAGTCGGAGGGCTTTACGCTAAAAGACAGAGGCACACTCTGCCCCCACTCAACCCCATACTCTGCAGCCAGCTCTTCGGCAAACCTCTGCTGCGAAATCTTCAACACCCCTCCCTCTACGTCCCTCTCGCAAAAGCACACGGAGTACCACCTCAACTCTCCAAGGTTCTTCACGGGGACCATCTCGTTGAGATCCCTGCCAACCTTGTCACACCTCTCCTTCCGCCCTACAGCAAAAATGTCATTCACGTGGACCACGATGATCATGATCACATGCCCCTCCCCCATCAATCGAAAAACACATGCATCCGCCAGACACTGCAAAAAACCAAAAAGTAACAAACAACTCGTCAGGTGCGCATGCCAATGTCTTGATGCCTGCTTCAAGCCATACAGACTCTTGCACAGCTTCACGATCAGGCCAGATGACCTACCACACCCCTGCGGTAAGCGCATGAAAACATCCTCATCAAGCTCAAAAAGCCTGCTGAATATCGAAATGGCACAAGTCAAGATTCTGTTCGAATGCTAATTAATGCTGCCAACAAGCGCACACTGGACAATGATACGGTGGGTGCAAACAATTCTCCAACATCAATCGAAGCCCTCTGCATGTCCCCCCGCGCTACAAGTCTTGCCTTGAATTTCGTCGGCCATCCGTACTCGTCTGCCTTACAGCTAAAAACCCACTTAGCATTGATTGCGTTCTCTACTGGTTGCTACACCGGACTAAAAGTTCCTGCATCCAACAAACCGAAAAACTCTCGATCGACTGCATCATTCCACAACTCTGAATGCTGAGACCGCATGGCCTCCTTGAACGTTTTCGGCGCGCGGAGGTCGCTGGCGAGGCAGTGAGGAAGGTCTGGCATCTTGTCGGGCGGGCGCTCGGCGCGAAGAGCGGCGTCCACATCCTCGCGGGTGGCGAACATCGTTGCGAACATCTGCGGTCTCCATCCCCCCCCAGAATCCACGGGCCCCCCAGCGCCCACAGCCCCCTCGCTTCCACGGCCTCCAAGACTCGGATCCGGCTGCGGCGGGGGCGGCAGGTCGCGGCGTCTTTGATTCACGGCCTCCCACGTGGCGAGCGACGAGATGAGGGAGTCCTTGTCCATCATCGCTAACAGACCAAGACGGTGGTGGAGAGCGGTGCCGCCACCGGACGGCGGTTGTTGTTCTTCCATGAACCGCACTGCATCGCCGCGCTTGCGGCCGTGAACCCTCGTGTCATCTCGTCCCAGTTCCTTCACGGCTCGTTTCGAAAGCGGTGGGTGCGGGGGAGCGGGGGTGGTGGCGCTGGTGGGCTGCGGCGGCGGCGGCGGCAGGCCCGGGGGCGAACGGGGCGGCGTTGTTGCAGTCGACGGTGGGCTGATGATGGGGCGACGGAGATCGGCGCCGGGGCTGAGGATCCTGTGAAGATCGGCGAGGAAGCGGGCTGCGGCGGTGCGGTGGTCGCTGGTGCAGGCGGGATGTAGTTGTACGTCCTTGATGGCGGGGGCGGCGGCGGTGCGGCATCGGCCGCAGGTACGGCGGCGGCCGGCGAGGGCGCCGCGGTGACCAAAGAACCCCCCCCGATGCCCGGCACCGGCGCCGATGCTCCTGCCCGGTGGTTGACCCACACGACGTTGTTGGTGAGGGCGAGGCGACCGGTGTCAGCGCGAAGAACGACCGCGGTAGACGTCGAGTGGTTGTTGGCGCCGTGCAGGTAGAAGCACCGCGCGGATTGGACGTCCGCCTTGGTGGCCCGCTTCACGCGCATCATCCCCTCCTGAATAAAAGGGACGACGGTGAGGGGCGGCTTCCGGCCGAATAACGCCTCAAACGGCGATAACCAGCCCAGGTTGGCCTTCGTCGCGGAGCGGTTGAAGCAGGCGGATACCCACAGCGCCGACGCGAGCCACAGGCGATGTCCGTTGCTGAGGCTGCTGCTGTTGCTGAGGCTGCTGCTGCTTGGTCTCCTGCTTCTTCCGTTGCCGACGCTGGGTGTAGCACTCGCTGTTGGTGTGCGACGAGTACGGATGATAGTCGCAGCGCCTGTCTCCGTCCGCCCTATTGTTGCTACTCCGACCGCCTCCATTACCGTCCTGACCCCCGCCGTTCCCACTGGACCCATTTTGGACACGTCCGTCGCCCCGGTTCCCACCGGCAGCGAAGAAAGCGTGCCCTGCACCATTCTGCGGCTCCCCCTCCTGTGCGGTCACCATATCCTCATGGGCATCTTTCACCACCTTTTCAAGGTGCTGACGGGTCAAATTGGGGGGCGGCAGGCCCCAGGATAGCATTCTCCATCCTGTACTCGGAAGACAAGTTGTACACAACGTGAAAATTGGCATCATTGTCGGGGTATGTGAAGCCGTGTGAGGCTAACCTACTGCGCAAAACAGCAAATCTGCCGAAGTATTCCTGCGGACTCTCACCCACTCGCATTTTTCTGGCATGGTATTCCGAAGTCAACCGTGTTTTTTCTGCTCTCGCCNCATCTTTCACCACCTTTTCAAGGTGCTGACGGGTCAAATTGGGGGGCGGCAGGCCCCAGGATAGCATTCTCCATCCTGTACTCGGAAGACAAGTTGTACACAACGTGAAAATTGGCATCATTGTCGGGGTATGTGAAGCCGTGTGAGGCTAACCTACTGCGCAAAACAGCAAATCTGCCGAAGTATTCCTGCGGACTCTCACCCACTCGCATTTTTCTGGCATGGTATTCCGAAGTCAACCGTGTTTTTTCTGCTCTCGCCTGGGGTTCGTAATATGCTAGAAATAGTTTCCAACCCCCACTGGCACTACCATCAGCGATAATCTGGGTCAAGACAGGTAGGTGATTGTCGTGATGAACAAATTCCACGCCGTGATCGCCTTTTCTACCGTATCAGGCGAGTGCATCCTACGCAAGTCCTCCATGTCTACTCCTTCTAGCCCGACTGGAATTCTGTGGTTATTCAATACCACTTCCCTGACTCCTTCTTGCGCAAACATAGCAATCATGTTCGATCGAAAATTCAAAAACCTTGCCTGTTCATCCTCCCCTTGCCTATACATACCATCCCACGGCGCTAGGCGCTTAACCTCAGTCATCCTAAGAGTCGCTGCGCTACTTGGTACTCTACCAGTGTCTGCGGGTGATATTTGAAGACGGCTGGTCAGGGCGTCGGCGAGAGTGCGGGCGATGTCGTCTGCGGACGGGCCGGCCGATGGTCGCCCCGCATGTTGCTGGTGGCGTGTCTCGTGATCGTTCCCGCTCCGGACGTGATCTGTCCTATGCTGCTGTTCGTCTTGTTGCCTTGTAATATCGGCCGGTCTCGCTGCTACCCTCTCGTTCACCAACTCTTTGATCCGGGCGTCGTCGTCCACTGCTTGACGGTCGCTCTCTCGGTCTCGGTTTCGGTCGGGGGTGCTCATTGGTGACTCCTGCTGATCGCCGCAAAGCGATGTAGCTCCAAACTAAGCTCGACGCGAATGAATATCGTTGACGACGTGTCATATGCTAGCGTGATCGATAATTCGGGTGGCTCAGTTCTGTGTGTTGGGAGTGTAGAGCAGCTGGGCCATGACGGGCCGTGGTAGGGGAGGGACGTATAGGAAAACGTATTGTATTCTTCGGGGGCGTGCTCGTGCTCGTAAATCTGTCACGGCATCAAGCACGCGTCACGCTCATCACGCTCAAACTACCAAACGGATCTCTCTGATTCCTCCGTATCTCATCACTGCGATTCCCGTACGTACGTTCTGAAGATCTTACCCGTCATACTATGCTACGAGTATCCCCAATGTATCTAATAATGTACCGGTAGGACACGAAGGTCAAGGCATTTTTTTTTTTTTCAATTTTCTTTCTTGCGCAAGGGATCTTTTCGGAAACACACATAGACTATTTACTGCTGTGGGACACATAACTCGACGTCTTGTGCAGTGGCACCATCGTGGTGATGTCCTGAAAACACATGTAATTCCGTTACTGTACGGTTGGAAATTAAATGCCTCACTCTTTCTTTCAGTTCCTCCTTTCATGTTAACGACAACCCACTACTTCGCTTTCTCCTACCCTTTGCGAGTTTTCCTTACTCATCATACCTTCCCATGTCCCAGAACATACCATTCCACGAGGAAAGGCGACCAAACCAACATCCGGTGGCTACTTCATGATCCCAACTACACGTACGACCACCTTGATAACCAAGTCTTCGACAGACTGAGGACCTCGCTCCGAGCAGTATCTGTTCGTGAGGTGGATTATGCCATCCTTACGAAGGCTACTACTGTGGTGATACTCATGTGTGCTTTTGAGCTAGATGCAATTGCGCAAGTAGTGGCTGTTACTTGTCTTTGGATCTTCGGGGTATCTCCGATCATATCTTTGACAAGTTGTCACGTGTTCCGCTGTCGCGTGTTCCGAGTTCCGAATGCGTCTTTTCTACGAGGAATTTCTTGCGGCTGTTGTACGAGTGCCTCGATGTTTGTGATGCATCCTGGTGCTCATTCTCTTCCGTGGGTTGTGTCCACGAAGGCAACCAAGAAAACGTCTTAACCATCTCTCCACGTTGGTCAACCGGGTCAGCCGTGCTAATCCAGCAGGACTAGGCTTGGGGCCAATCAACACTCTAGAGTTTGGACTTTTAACGCCACAGTCTAGTGTGACGGACACACATGTCTTCGCAAGAACCGGGTAACTCTGGCGGAGGCGGGGCCAGTCCGACCCATGAGCAGCTACGGACAGCCATCGATGACGCCGTCGGCGACGCCAGCACCAGACTGGAAAGGATGGTTGAAGAAAAATCGGAGGGCATCATGGACTCCTTGTCCCGAGTAGTGCCCGGGGCACCGCCTGCCGGGAGTACGACCGCGGCGGGCGGCGGAGGCGAGTCATCGGGCGGGGCGCACGCCCTTCCGGGTGCTGGGTTTTTGATGGGGCACGCGCCAAGTACCGGACGGGGACTCGAGGGAGCGAGAGGACTGCTAGGCCCAGCGCCACGAGAGCACACGCCATCCGAGGGAGGCATCTCGCGAGAAGGCGCCCACAGCGAGCAGGCCGCATGGTATGCCATATACTCACACGCCCGGATCCCGCGCCTGAAGCAACTAAGCTTTGATGGCCATGAGAAGAACTGGCTGATGTTCAAAAACGACTTCACTACGCAGGTCCAAACATGCGGAATGGATCGTGCCTTGAATGATAGCAGGGACATTGTGGTACAAGGTGTAGATGATGACGGTATGGTAAGGCAGGGAGTGAGGAGAGAGGAGATTGCCATGTACCGAGATCTGTGGGTATTGCTGACCGAAGCGATCTCAGAAAGTGCGACCAAGATTATGGTGTTTGGTTGCAAAGGACCCTCGGCAGCGTGGCGTGCGTTGGAAGAGACATTTTCTCCGTTGACAGGCGGCGAGCAAATATCACTGATGGCAAAGTTTTTCGACGCCCAACAGGGGAAGAACCAGGATCCACGAGTGTTCTATCAGGAGTTCAAGTCCATAGTGGCCTAGAGTTGGCATTTGAACAACCCATCCCAAAGATGCTCGTTTATGCGCGATTCCTCGACGCGCTTTCACCGGAATTCGAAGTCCAGAAGCAACAGTTGCTCGCCCAGAAAACACTCGATGAAGAAGAGATTTTGAGAGTATTGCGTACACGGGCTGGGCAACTGAAAGTGGAGGTGCCGAAGTGGAAGAAACAACATATTCGCCTGATTGAGAGCGAAGTATCTGATTGAGAGCGAGAGCCAAAAAAATTGAAATTTCGGGTCCAGACGCCTCTTGCCATTTCTTGGCAAGTAGGGGACGGGCTATTCCAAGAAGCGGTGCAAATTGAAGGTCTCATCAGCAGCTTCGCGAGCATATGCGTGTCATCGTCATCGGATGCTGCAGCGAGGAGCTAGACAAGTTGCTAGATTTGCCCAGATTGGCTATTTCTGCTCAAACTGTTTCAGGGCGGTATCGCGTCGGGCGGTGGGCTCTGCTGTAGCTTCTGCTCCCCGCTGTAGCTCCACAACGAGAGACTCCCACAGGATGACCAGGGTAGCGGCTTGAAGCTACGGGCTAGCCCTTCAATTCAAGCTACACAGCAAGCTCCACCTCTCAGTGGTAGTCCGGCTACAGCGTATCGCGCAATCTCGCTCTCAATCAGATGCTACGCTCTCAATCAGGCGAATAAGTGAACGGCGTACGCACCAGGCGTTCGTAGCAGTAGAGGGGAAGGGGAGAGGGAAGAGACGGTCGAAACAAACCAGAGGGGACGAAGAGGCGTACCTGGCCAACGATAAGAAGTCAGTCAGGTGCTACATTTGCGATCGGGACCACTTTGCAAGCGCATGCCAAGAGAAGCTTTGCCAGAGGTGCGGGAAAAAGGGGCACAACGCAAAGAACTGCCCATCGAAATCTACGGACGAGACTGCAGTCACCGCAGCCGAGTTGGACGTAGCATACGAAGCACTCTGATGATATCTTGATTTGTTTTGCCCCGTGGTGCCTCAATGTCCCTCCCCTTGCGTGCGTTGCTTGCGATTCGGCTTGTCGGCATTTTCCTTTGCGACCAACCTGTCACACAACTTGCGGTTTCTATAAACTGCTCATGAGACGCTCATGAGCGGCTCATGAGACGCTCATGGGATGCTCATGAGATGCTCATGAGATGCTCATGAGATGCTCATGAGCGGTTCGATGGGTCGTCTCATGAGCTGTCCCATGGGCGTCTCTTCATGGGCGTCTCATGGGATGGCCCATGAGATGGCCCATGAGACAGCCCATCGAACTGCCCATGAGCATCCATGAGATGGCCCATGAGACAGCACATCGAACTGCCCATGAGCATGTCACGAGCCGATCGGCCGTCGTCGAGGCTGCCCATGAAGGAGAGGCAGAGCGTCCCATGAGGGTGGGTCTTGCCAAAAAAAGTTCAGAATCAAAAATCGAAAATGAATCGAATTTGTATTTCTGATTTCGTAGTTTGGGTCTAGTCTACCCAAATACGCCGCCGCTGAGGAAAAACCAAAGGAATCGCGGCGAAATATATCGAACAGATCGCGGGCACACTCTTCTCCCTTCTTCCCCTCGCTCCTCGACAAGCTTTTGCTTAGACATGGGTTGTAGTGAAGGGGGGGGTCTTTCTGGCGAGCAGGGCTAGACTCACCCTCAAGGGATGACCGAAACCTTCTTGCTGCTGCGCATATCCGCCGCGAGGCATGCGCGTGGTGGTGTAGTTGGGTCGGCACTGATGGGGTCAG